TTTGTCAATGGTAGAAGAAAAGGTGATGGTTGTGAATTCTTATCAATCTGTGACGTTTCAATCTTCAACTAAAGGTATCAATGACATGTTCCGCTCCTGAACCACCGTAATGGAGTACGTGAATGAATTGATCGGGATTGGAAGATGGCAATTCAAGATGAAGTTTGACTAATCGAAGATTTTCGCTTAATTTTACATCAAATTTTAAACAAAAAATCACTTTTTCCCCAGATAAACCACACGAGCTAGGGGGGAGGGGGGCGTGGAAAACCACTATTTCTCTCATTTTTATTTTTGTGTTTTTTTGTATCGATCTTATGATATTTAGATTGACTACGATTGGAGTGATTGAGATTTGTAATGCCGATAATTGGTTTGAAGCTCTAGTATGTTTAGTGAAAAAAATCACCCAATTTTGAAGTCTTTATGTCTGTTAAAAAAGTGAAGCGAATTTTTTATTTTTGTGTGTCTAGCATGAGAGAAGGGTCATGTTATGAGTCTGATGTAAGATTCACGATCTCCATTTATGAATTAAGGGGGTGTTTGGATCTGATTCTCTAAACTGATTCTGCTCCTTCAGGGAGCAGAAGCAGAAGCTGAAGTGTTTGGATGAAATTCCAGAAGCACTTCTGGAGCTCTAATTTACTCTTAGAATCAGTTTTTTTAGAAGGTGGGAGGTACCAGCTTCTGAAAACTGATTCTGATTCTGCTTCTACTTTTAAAAAAGAAGCAGAAGCAGAATCAGTTCCAAACACCCCCTAAATGTAGTCCGCAAGAGATTTATATCTTTTCACTTTCTCTTTTCAATTGTAATTCATATTTTCTTATTTCTAAACATTCTCATCAACTTTCAATAATTTTGAAAATAATATATCACTCAGTAGTGTAACTATTGTTTTTATTTATCCTGATTCTAACATATTATCTCATTATCTTCTCATCATACTCTCAATAATTTATATCGCATTTCACTATTTAAATTCTGCATACTTTTAAATGAGAAGATATGAATATTAGGAAGATAGTATTAGAATAATGTAAATTCCTTCGAACTCTATGAGACTATGAGAGTACAAGTACACGTGCATGAATACGGTTCGTCCTTCCCCTCCTGTCTTGTTCAAGCGTACGATTAAAAATCAAAATACATGCTAAATTATTGATTGAGAAATCTATAAGGCTAACCATAACTCAGCCCGTCAATAAATTTAATCCCCCACCTTTTTATACGTATTCATTCAATCAATTCAGTTTTTTCCTGCAACCCAGTACCGTCAATATATTGACTCAGGACATATTGTTTTATAATGAAATGCATAAATCCTTACATTTTTTATTTTACATCGTCTAAGTGACAATTTTATTTTTACGAATAATTATAATTTAAAAACTCAAGCATTTCGATGTAAAAATAAATAAATTTAGAGTTTATTTTTTTTGTTATTTCAGGCCTATATTTTAAAAACATAATCAAAATGTGTAAAAAATTATACATGAGATATTGTTTTTAACATTTGGAGCTACTTAAGAATAATTTTGAGTCTAAAGATCTCCATCAGATAAATCATCATATTTTTTTTAATTATATATATATATATATATATATATATATATATATATATATATATATATATATATGATATTGGTGTCATATGAAAGATCATAAAAAGTTATACCATTAAAATATATATGATATATTATTTGTAAAAATTGAATCATTAATAAAAAGGTTATACCATTTTTTAAAAAATTGGGATTTCTATCTTTCGAGGAGCTCACATTTTTTTCTTTGCTTGGCACACCGAGGAAACTATTTCTCTCTCTCTCCAAGAGTCAATCCGGCGGCTATATCCCCACGCAAGGGGTCTCCCCAACCCATTACAAGACCTTGCTATACTCATTTTGGCTTGGGTTGCAACTTAAATTGGGGTGAAAACATCAAATTTGGGTTTTCACTTCCTTGCATTGCGGATAGCCTAAGGAGTAGCTTGTACGTAGTACGGACTATGGGGTATACTCATTCCGTCCCGCAAAGAAGATCACGCTTTCCTTTTTAGCAGTCCCAAAAAGAATTGTCCTTTCCTTAAATGGAAAGTTATCCTACATCAAAACAGTGCCAAACAGTGTCAAAACAATGTCAAGACAGTAAAATTTACCCTCTCGTAAGTTTATTTCCTTAATATGTGTAGGTCAAACCGGGAACTTCTTTGCCGGATGGAGGGAGTATATCAATTGAGACTTGAGAGCAATAATTCACTGTAGTATGGTTGTCCGGCCTATGTGAAAAGAGTCTTACGTAGTACTCCCTCCGTAACTTTAAGATCTTCCCACTTCAAAAGTGGGTAGATTAAGAATAGTGATAGACAATATAAATTATTGAGGGTATGATAGGAAGATAGTGAAATAATGTGATGGAATGGGGGATGGATCCAAAAAAAGTAGTTGTAATAGTGTATTATTTTTAAAATTATTGAGGGTATGATGGGAAGATTGAGAAATGAGAAGATTTATTTTGTTACGGACGAAAAAGGAAAGTGGAAAGATTTTTTTGTTACAGAGGGAGTACTATACTTGGTGTACCGTCTACCCCATTTTGATTTTTGAGTACCCTTTTATACCACACCCTTTGTGACGTTGTGTAGTTTAAATGAAGCCATCGTTTAAATGAGTTCCCCCAAGTTAAATGAATTGTCTCATTTGAGTCACACATTAGGGGTGTACAAATGGAGTACCCCAAAATGGGGTACCTATAATATTTTTCATGTGAAAAGACATGCACGTGGGAGTAAAAGGGAATTAGGAGCAGAAGTAAAAGTTGCAGTGCATGGATGAAATTGTATAAGTACTTCTGTTACTCTAATTTACTCCTAGAAGCAGTTTTTTTAGAAACTGGTGTATACCAGCAGCTTAAAACTTATTCTAATTCTGCTTTTGTTTTAAAAAAGAAGTAGAAGCAAAATCGGTTCCAAACACCCCGTTAATTATCCTAAATAGAAGTCCATCTTGAATAGGAATAATTGTCCCTAATTTATTAATGAGTTTTCGTTGCTTGAAATCCTTAATGACTTACAAATTACAGAAATATCTTAAATTCTTGAGATGTCTTTTATTGTTGGATTGATATTTTTTTAACTATTTTGTACATCTGGGAAATGTCTATCACTACAAAAAAATACGGGATTGGCAGAGATTTTGGTAGGGATTTGGGCAGGGATTATGCCAAATCCGTGCCAAAAACACTTTGGCACAAAAAATCGGTAAATCCGTGCCTAAATCCATGACAATCACGGTTTTTTTTTGTGTTTTGGGTGAATTTTGTACACCGTAAGACTCAAAATGAGGTTAAATCTATTTTAGTCTGATCTGGTCTAATATTGGTGATTTATTAAGACTTGAACCAAATCAATTAAAAACATAGTTAACCATTTGCCCTACTATCAACCCTATTTTTTTTAAAAATAAATCCTAGTCCGGTATTTCGTAAGATGTCCGGAGTATATTGTACAAACAATTAATAATAGTTCCGGAGTAAAAAGCTCCACCCGCAATGAAAGGGTCTGAGTGCAGCGTACTTTAGCAAAGGGTGGATGGAACGCCGACTCGCTGCAGTTTGGTACTAAAAGTGTTGTTTGCGTGTAGATCTCTTAATACTCGACGGACGAATAGGTTAAAGACCTGGGAACCAAAAGTCGTGGAGCGAGAATGAAAGAACCCTAGCCGAGCGCCGCCCTTCGGATCGATCGATCGCTGGAGGGCTGATTACCGGCGTTTCAGATTTCATTTATCTTCTGCTTCAAGTTGCCTCTCATCGTTTGCTTTATTTTGTTTTAGTTTCTTCGCTCTCTCTTTGTTTGAGTTGCTGTCACGAGCTTTGTGCTCGTTTTCTGGTACGACACTTTGTTGCCGTAGTTGTTTCCATCTGTGTTCCTCTATGGACGATTTTGTTTGGTTGCTGGTTGTTTGATTGAAGGGGAATTGTCTTCTAGTTTCTGCTAGAAATCAAGTAGTGGGATAAAGGCTTTAATTTGTTTTAGCCATTGTGTAGAGGCTTCGGTGTTGGTTTCATTAGTTTGGTTGCTTTCTGGTATATTGATTTATTAAATTTTGACATCCACCATGGATACGCTTGTTGGGCCGTACAATAAAATCTCTATTGCTGAGGAGGAAAACAAGGGTTTAGAAGCTGTTCAGTTCGTCTTAATCTTATTACTTATTCCTTAATCTTATTTTATTCAGATCAGATCAGATCAGATCAGAAAGATTCAGATCAGATCAGATCAGAAAGATTTAGATCAGATCAGCAACATTCAGATCAGATCAGCAACATTCAGATCAGATCAGAAAGATTCAGACCAGATCAGACCAGATCAGAAACATTCAGATAAGATCAGAAACATTCAGATCAGATCAGGTCAAAAAATTCAAACATGATTTATCACTTTTATTATTATATTAATTATGATTATTATATTATAGTTATTGTTAATAATATTAATATATTAATATAATAATATTATTAATAATAATATAATAATAATGTTAATAATATAAAATTATTATTATAGTATAATAATATAATATAATATTATATAATATAATATAATATAATATAATATAATATAATATAATATAATATAATATAATATAATATAATATAATATAATATAATATAATATAATATAATATAATATAATATAATATAATATAATATAATATAATATAATATAATATAATATATTATAATATAATATAATATAATATAATATAATATAATATAATATAATATAATATAATATAATATAATATAATATAATATAATATAATATAATATAATATAATATAATATAATATAATATAATATAATATAATATAATATAATATAATATAATATAATATAATATAATATAATATATTTATAATTATAATTATAATTATGATTTACAATGTAATTATAATTATAATCATCATTAATATTAATATGACTGTATTATTAATATGACTGTTGTTCTTGTTGTTATTGTTGTAATTATTATTACTTCGGAGTAATTATATATTTAAATTAGTAATTATAGACATAATTATGACTATACAAATAAATATTATAATTATAATTACAATAATAATAATAATTATAAAATTAATCATAATTAAAAATATAATTACATTTATAATTGTATCTGTATTTATAATTAGTGTAATTGGTATAATTATTATAATTTTAAATTTAATTTTAATTTTTTTTAATTATGATTATAATTGTAATTTTATTTAAGTTATATTTTTAATTACAATTATAAATCTAATAATTATAATTGTAATTACAATTACAATTATAGAAATATTCAAATCAGATCAGAAAGATTCAGATCAGAAGAATTCATATCAGATCAGAAACATTCAGATCAGATCAGAAACATTCAGATCAGATCAGATCAGATCAGATCAGATCAGATCAGCAACATTCAGATCAGTTCAGCAACATTCAAATCAGATCAGAAAGATTCAGATCAGATCAGAAAGATTCAGATCAGATCAGATCAGATCAGAAAGATTCAGATCAGATCAGATCAGAAAAATTCAGATCAGATCAGATCAGAACTTAAAAAATTCAAATCAGAAACATTCAGATCAGGTGAACGGAACAGCTTCTTAGTCTTGAAAGCAGACCCGGTCGGGGTTAAAGGGGAAGTTGAGGGCGGAATCTATTTCTTAGCGGTGGCAAGGGTGGTTACAGATAAATCTGTCCGGCCAATTTCTCTTTGTGAAACTATGGTCAAGGTCTGAAGGCCGGTTCGGGGTGTCACTATTGAGGAGATTGGTACTTCTAAATTTCTTCTCCAGTTTTATCATGAAGCAGACATTAACCGCGTAGTCGAGGAGGGTCATTGGTCTTTTGACCAGAACTTAGTAGTGATTCGGCGCTTAGGGCGTACTAATAGACTTTCTGGAATGTCCTTGGACTGTGCAGATTTTTGGGTACATGTTCATAATTTACCTTGGGGTATATGACAGCTAAAGTTGCCCATGGAATTGGAAACAGCATAGGGAAGTTTGTCAAAGTAGATGAGCGTTATCTTGGGGGTAAACACAGCTGATTGATCTTGCGCATAAGAGTTACAATTAATATTAATATAGTTTTGGCTCAAAGATTGCAGGTTAGACAAGAAGGAGATAACTGGACATGGGCAGATTTTAGATATGAGAGACTTCCTAAATTTTGCTATGTATGTGGTTTACTCGGCCATATTGACCGTTTCTGCCTATCTAATTTACACAACTGTCACTGGACTGGGGAGAAGCCATTTGGGTCATGGCTACGTGCTGATATGAGACGGTGTGGAGTGCATCCAGGGAACAGGTGGTTAATACCCAAGCAGGGAAAGGTGGAAAGTGTGTGCAACTCAAGAGGAGATATGGTAACCCCGGGTAGCTATGTGGTACAAGGTTTAACCTCCAATGGTGAGGAGGTAATGCATCTGAAGGAAGACCATAAAAAATGTAGGGCGGTAGAAGTGGCCATTGATGAGGACATCCAAGAAAATAGAGATGAAAAACTTGTGAGTCGAGAAGAAGTGGCGGTTGACTCTGTCAAGCCAGTGATGGGGGACCTCTATGACAAAGAAGATGAACCTTTGACGGTGGCTGGACAAACCGCACTTTCCTTACCGGTGGCTGGAAAAACTGGATCTCGTTTTTCTTATTATTGCTCTTTTTTCCAGAACTCTTTAGTTACTTTTATTATTCATTCTAGTAGCAGGTGCAACAGTGTTGTTAGTGCAGTCTACCATCTTGTGGGGTTAGCGAGTTGGGTCGTTTTTCATCGATCTTTCTGCTCTATGTCTCATCCCAATGTAGTCTTTAATGTGGCGGCTTTGTATCTGGTTCTCGATTTTAATATGAATTAAGTTATGTGTTTTCAAAAGAAAAATAATAATTCCGCATTACTTGGTATATGGTATAGCGCTTTTGTTCGTCACTTCAATTCGCCCATGACCTAATAAATTCTTGGTATATTGTAGTTGTCTATCACATTATTATTTCTAATCACATTATTACAATTACAATTTGGACGACAATGAAATACTCGTTTCCTTTCTCTTCAACTTGTTTAATTATGATGTTTCACTGGTTTTTGTATTCGGTCGAAGAAGTTACAAAATTTGGTCATTATATAAATAAATGTTGTTTGTACACAAATGTGATTCTAGCATATATTATACATAGAGTCCGTTTGGTAGCATGAAAATCGGCTGATTTGGCTGATTCTGCTGAAATTTATGAAGTTTTGGCTGAAGTGGATGCATTGGTTGATTCTGCTGATTTAAGAAAAAATTATTTTTAAAATATATTTTATTAATAAAATAAAGAAAAAATTATATGTAAAAATAGCTAAAATGGTCATCTACAGTAACTTCAGCCAATACAGCCAGAAAAGTAACTTCAACCTTACTTTTTATGCTTATTACACAATTCACCACGCAAAAGCAAAAATTGCGTGTTTGGTGAAAAAGTTGATTGATAAGTCTAATAAGCCGAAAAACAGTGGTTTCAAATGGCCTCGTAGACGGTAGTATATACAACGATCTCCTTTAAAATATCTTTTTGGTTCATTTTAACCTCAAATAAAGTGTGAAAAGTGTTTTGGCTCTTCTGTGCCCACGAATGATAGGATCAGCTGTAATAGCCTAAAAATTTGGCAATTAAATATTAATATTTGTAAATCATACGAAGTAGTTTTATGGGGTATAAAGTATGAGAGTTTTGTATATTCAATTATTTTTACGTTTTCATGGAGTTTTTTTTATCAAACCAGATTTGAATAATAACAGTACACACATAATATACATAAATTAGATTAGATCAGACTTAAATAAACATTAGATTTTTCCATTCAAATAACTAATTAGTTATTTGACACATCCTTTATATGCTACTTTGTACATTGGGTATGCATTGGAAAAAGTTATTCGCAAAGGCATGCTTTATTCATTATACGGAGTATAATCACGATAAAGAACACAGGATTGACAGATATTTTTAATAAGGTTCACTAAAATTCATAGAGGAAAAGGCAGAGATAAACCAAATCCATGTCAAAAATATTTTGGTACAAACTATTTCGCACGAAGTCATCGATTCAATATAATTCAAATATATGTCTGAGTCAATCTCCTAATTTTTTTGCAATCAACTTAGAAAATGTTGAGTATCTTTGTTAAAATGTTCTCTATCCGTTTATGGGTGGGGTAGCATATTGATTAATAATTATACTTGAACACAATTTTCTCAAAGTATATCATCCATCAGGAGGATTGGTAAAGTAGTACTCCATAAGTTTTACTCCCTCCCTGCCAAAATCGTTGGTCAATGTTGACTTGCACGTGAATTAATAAAGTAAAAATTGTGTGGTTGAAATTTGTGCAGAGGAGAGAGAATTAATTTTAGCCTCATATTCCTTACTTTAAATGGAAATGACAAACCTTTTTTGGACGGCCAAAAAAAGAAAATTTGGCCAATCATTTTGAAACGGGAGTATTTAAACTATAAAAATAAAGTGGGGAGTAAGACGTAGAAAACCTTTCTGAGAGTCATGCATGTGGTGTATCTCCACTAGTCAGTGCCAGCAAGAAATGGATATATGGACCGCAGGAAGGCGCTTCGATTTGTCCTCCAGTTTACAGTGTGTTTTTTGTGAATTATGGCATTGCCAAAGCCGTATAAAGCCGGGATTTGTAAAGTTAAAAGCACATTATGACAATCAAATATAGACCGTATTGCATGGGTATATGGGATGGCTACAACCCTTTCCTGTTCACAAGGGGAAGAGTAATCCAATTGCATCACCTAGCTACCTAGGGACACCATTTAGTTTTGACAATACATTTCTTGTATTTGTTTTAGCTCTACACTTTATCGTTCAATGTAATTTACCGGAGTATTTATTTTGTGGTGAAATAATTACACATTTACACATTTACATCTCCAAAATAGGGCGGAGGCCACTTGATGATGGAGATTTTTGTATTTAATACTCTCTCCGTCCCGCAAAATAGTTCCCGGTTTTCTTTTTGGGTCGTCCCAAAAAATAGTTCACATTTGCCTTTTCGAAAAAGTGTGTGGCTCACATTCATTTACATTTTTTCTACTCAATCACAACCATACATTTCGACTTTATTCCCACTTTCTTAAACTCCGATCCAAGTCAATGCGAGAACTATTTTATGGGACGGAGGGGTATTAAAAATTGGGAGATAATCAAAGTGATTCATGATATCTCATTAAAATAAATAAAAGTTGAGGTGGGCCTAAAAAATTATTAGATAAAATTTAATGCAATAAAAAGGTTGGGAGGGGGCAAGGCCCCCCGGTTAACGCACACCTCCATCCCTAGGATCACCTCTCGATCTTATACTTCGTATGTTCTTTAATAGTTGCAACAATTTGACTTTCACGTTTGTCGACGGACAATTTTCGTTGTAATTATATTTAATTACGTATTAGTGAATATTGAAAAAAATAATACGGAGTATTTTTTTAACGAGAAGAAATTAATATTTTTGAAATTTACATTAATAGAAATTTAATAACATCTTATATATAATAATTTGATTATATACTACCTCCGTCCCGTTGGGATGTTTCCGGTTTGACCTACACACATATTAAGGAAATAAACTTACTAGGGGGTAAATTTTACTGTTTCAACACAGTTTGACACTGTTTTGCACTGTTTTGATGTAGGATAACTTTCCATTTAGGGAAATGGGAACTTATTTTTGGGACTGCTAAAAAGGAAAGCGGGAACATCCCAACGGGACGGAGAGAATATATTATTAGAAAATCGTAATCAAAGTAAGGTATGTGTGAATAATGCAAAAACTCCAATGTTGTAACTTTTAAAGAACAGATGAAATATGTTAAAGCATTTCTCCCACACCGGAAAGTTATAAAACAATTAAACACTATATAAGGCTTTGGGCTACTCCTCCTATCAGGTTGTCCTTTTAGGACGGAAACTGTATATTTATATCATACTTTAAACTTTTAGGACGGAAACGTAGCCTTTAAGTAACGCAAAATGCAGTGTGCAGCGTCGAGGTGTGTTTGACGGGGCTCTGAAAGAAATTGGCTCAATTGATTAACCGCAAACACAATGTTAGGACGTGTCACTGTGAGATATAATAGGCGGCCAATGAGCCATCGATACATGGAGGCATCGATAGGAGGGCTGTCGTCCATAGGACGCAATTCAAGGTTTTGATCCATGGGAAATAAACTTGGGCAACTGCCCTGCATGCCACTCTTGGAGGATATCTAATGTATATTTGCGTTGGCTAAGGACAAAACCATAAGGTGATCGAGCTACTTCGATTCCAAGGAAATACTTGAGGGGGCCGAGATCTTTGATAATAAACTGATGATCAAGGTGTTGCTTGATGTGATTTATGTGAGCTAAATTGTTACCGGCGAGTAACACATCGTCAACATAGATGAGTGCAACAGTGTAAATAGAGTCGCGGCGGTAGACATAGAGAGAATGATCAGGTCGGGATTGGCGAAAGCCAATGAGACCAAGAGCTTGAGTAAATTTCTCATATCAATTCCGAGAGGCCTGACGAAGCCCATATAAGGATTTTTGTAGTTTGCACACTCGATGATCGCCCGATTTAGCAAAGCCTTGCGGAATTTTCATGTAGAGATTTTCATGAAGGTCATCGTGTAAAAAGGCATTATTTACGTCAAGTTGATGAACAAGCCAATTATTTTTAGCCGCAACTACAAGTAAGCATCAAATTGTGACTAGCTTGGCTACAGAGGCAAAAGTCTCATTAAAATTCACACCCTCAATTTGAGTAAAGTCTTTGGCCACAAGTCGAGCTTTGTACCGCTCCACTTCACCATTTGGTTTGTATTTAATTTTATAGACCCATTTGGAGTCTACAATCTTCTTGTCGAGCGGTGGTGGAACTAGAACCCATGTACCATGTGCTTCTAGTGCATCGATCTCCTTTTGCATGGCTTCCCTCCACCTAGGATCTTGAATAGCTTGAAAAAAAAAAATTGGCTCATCACGAGACGTGATGGCCGCTAAAAAAGCCTGATGGGTGGTAGAAAAAAATTTGTACGTAACAATTTGGTCAAGAGGATGTACCGTTGATTTAGCCGAAGGAGGAGTACAATCGGTGAGCGAAGGTGGCAATGTAATATCAAAAGCCTCCAAATGTTTAGGTCGTCGCCTATTACTATCGCTTCTTCATATACCAACAACATTGGCTGGATCACTAACTTGTTCAAAAAACTGCATGTCATTATGTGAAGGCTCGTGGGATCCACCACTATTATTTTGTTGATCACTGGTAGGGGGTACCGGCTGAGAAGATTGCATGTCGTCAATTGGTGCCATGGGAGGATTCACATCTGGCAGTGGACTTGGTGGAGTTATGGGGCTGGGATTCCGGGTAACAGGCCGTATGGTGCTTGGAATAGAAGAGGGGCTATGTCGGCCAACAATATTGTCAAGTTCCATGTTCACAAGCGTGTCGAAATCACCTGTATCAATGATAGTTTTGAACGGAAAAATATGTTCAAAAAAAGTGACATCCCTTGAACTATATAGTTTCCGTGTTCTTAAATAAAAAAACTCTATAAGCTTTTTGTCCATCACGATAACCCACAAAAATGCAAGGGCTCCCCCTTTCGTCAAACTTATCTTTTCGCCTGTTATTGTGTGCATAGAATAGGCACCCAAAACTCCGAAGGTGCATGTAGTTAGGAGCCTTATGAAATGGTAATTCATAAGGAGTTTTATTTGAGATGATGGGTGCCGTCCACCTATTGATAATATGTACCGCAGTGAGAATGCATTCACCCCAAAATTCAACTGGTAACTCAGATTAAAAACGCAAAGCTCTAGCTATTTCAAGAATGTGGTGATG